CTTCCCTGAAAGGCCCTATAGTCTTTTCTCTTCTTCTGCTTCCTTCTCTTCTGCCCACCCACCAGCCAACCTACCTTTATCTGTCCCTCTGTCTTCAGGTCTGCCCCCACAGCCTCTATCAAGGAAAACTGTAGCTTAGTTGTGTAGTGCCAGGCACTGGGCCAGGCCCACTTCCATGGCAGGGAAGCCTCAAGGACTTGTGGGTGTGGTACCTTACTTTTTAGGGTTGCCAGGTGCCTACCTCATGCTAGTGGGGGAAATTGGGAGGCATTCCAGGGGCAGGCAGGGACATTGGCATCATAATGACATCACTTCCCGAAGTGACGTCATTGTGTCAGTGATGTCAGGGCAATGCTCTACTTTGGGGGCAAAACTCTCTGGTAAAAATGGCTACAAACCATAGAATTTTGCCAAAAAAGTAGAGCATCACTCCCGACATTGCTGACACGATGACGTCACTTCTGGAAGTGACATCATCTCATTGCTGATGTTGTGCAGGGACGTCTGTCGGGGTGGGGTTTCCCCTGCTGGCCAGCTGGGGACTAGTAAGCCTATCACTTTCCCCTGTACCCTTCCTGCACTATTTTCTCTTTCTCTCCCCCTGACAACAACTGTGTCCTCTCACCTTTCCCTGCCTCCTTCTCAGCTGTTCACCTACCTTCTATCTGCCTCCCTGTACAGAGATTAGCCCACCCAGTCCAGTCCAGGGATGAGAGGGAATCCTGTACTTTTCAGTACATTAAAAAACAAACCACGAGATGGTCTATATCCTCTCTGGTTTTCAGAACAATATGCCACCAGAATCTCTTTTCAATAGTCCCTGCTTTTCCTAAGGGAGAGATTCCAAACCCTTAGTTGGCATCTGGAATAGAACACATTAGCAACTCAATCCAGAGATGCACACTTTTTACCCTCCAATGGTAGCGCATGTGGTCAGGGTTAGGCACAAGACTTAGACTTGGAATCCAAGTTAAAACATCAAAGACAAATTAGCAATAAGAAGGATCTTTATTCAGTACAGAGCACAGCAAACAGACTAGGAGATTAAAAAATAACAAAGGCTAGGGCAATTTGCCTTAACTACACATTGAAGATACATAGTTACCACATCAGGAACATCCACAGTCCAGAATAGTCCAAGGGATTTTGAAGGGAAATCCCATTTTTGTAAACCCATGTGCTCCAAGTCACAAAGCAGGTCTTTGTTTTCCAAGAGACAGCATTTCAGGTGCAATAAAACAGACAATGACAAGAGGAGGAAGGGAGAGCTGAGCAAGAGAGCTCATTCCCATAGGGACCAAACAATTATACTCCAATTCCAGTCACAAATTAGCTGTGGCCATAAGCCAATTGCGAGTGGGCATGGGTGTGCCCAATTGTTGGTTGTCATAGCTGCATGTGGGGATAGGCTATAGGTTTGGGACCCCGCCTGCAGTCATCTGACCCAAACGCCAGCTACTTCATTGTGTACGTGACTGGTTGCAAGTAGGCCAGAAAGTGTAGCCATGAGGTCTGGCGTGTGAAAGAATGTGGGTTCATGGCATGGCTATTGAGGTCATTTGGCCTCACCATGTGGCTTGCAACAGGAAACAAGACACAGCATGTTATCAAAAGACATTGCAGGAGAAGGCATGTGAATATAGAAGCAATATTTCTATACTATCTTCAGCTAGATTTATTATTTACTTATTTCACTTATAACCTCCCTTTCTCCACAGTGGGGACCAAAGCAGCTTACACTATTCTCCTCTCCTTCTTTTTGCCCTCACAACAATCAAGCAAAAGTATGTGACTGGCCTAGCAACACCCAGTGAGCTTCCACAGCAAGATGGGGATTTGAACCTGGATCTTCCAGACCCTACTCTGGAGCTCTAACTGCTAAACCATACTGGCTTTCATAGAGTAGCTGCTGTTGAAAAGCCAGGCCAAAGTGAATGATGCAAGTCAGGTGATGTGAAGCCATCCAGTGGCTCCTACCATAACAGGCTCCAAGGAGTCTTATTTTGGGGGGAATTTAAACCCCCAATGGACTATCCATACAGTAAGTTATAGCTTTTTCCCATCATATGTCATCGGGTGACCCAAGACCAAGAAACATACTATGAAAGCAAACCACACCCATGGAAACCATGAACTATGAAGAAGCTATTTATACAGATATGTGTGTGTGTGTGCATACAATAGTGATTGATTCCCAAGACTGTAATAACATTTATATATGCATATATGCATGTTCCATTTATATTTTCAGATTCAGAAGTCACTATGGACATTCCATCATGATGACAAGAGAAATATAGATGTGACAAGACTTTATGAGCAGTTTCGCATTCAGGACCTGCCGGGATTTCATAGCAAAGGACCCTTGGTGACACAACACATTATGCTTAACCAAAAAATCGCACACAACTTCAGTAAGTATACAAATGCCAACACGGTTACTCAGGTTGTAGAAGGCTTTGTTTCTCTTATGACTGTGTTTGTGAGAGGTTCGTATAGACATTTCCTGGAAAGATTTTCATAGTATAATCCTAAACAGAGTTAGGCCCTTCTACGTCCATTGAAGCTCATAACTCTGTTTAGGATTGCATTTTTAGAGGCCCAGCAGGAAATAACAGAAAATACAGGTATGTGCTAGTAAATATCAGGCTTCCTTTAGTACATTGCTATTATATTATTACATATATTTTAAAAATAATCTTCCGCCAAGGAACTCAGGGAGTCCGTCCCTCCCCTCCTCTATTTTATCCTCACAACAATCCTGTGAAGGTAAGTTAGGCTCAGAGACAGTAACTGGTCCCTCTCTCATCTTCCATTTCATCATTTATGGGTAAAGGACATTTGCTAAATAACAGGTACAAACAAAGCATCATGACCTTGGACCTGCTACTTAACCTCAACCTAACCTTGTTGTTGTGAGGATAAAACAGAGGAGAGGGAAAGGATGTGAGTTGCTTTGGGTTCCTATTGAGGAGAAAGTCAGGGTTCAAATGAGGTAAAGAAAGAATCTCTCTATATAATAATTCTGTTTTGGTCATGGAGTCTCCTGAACATTCCACACCCTCCCAAATCAGTTGGCTCCCTGATCTGTCACTCGGAAGTTGTCCCTATCCACTGGCTGCGTTGCCTGAGTCTTGCCTCCAATATTCTAAACAGTTTGCTGTTCCTCGCCCCCCAATAGCCAGTCAGAACACAGAGGTCATTTGCATATGTGGCCTGAATGGCCTTTGCCTCTAACATTCTAAACAGTTTGCTGTTACTATTGGGAGTAATTGAATGTGTCCTGAGGTAAAATACATATCCCAATTTTTGCTTAAATGATCACTGGAGTTGCCAAAATACATATCCAAATCTTCCCTTAAATGGTCACTGCAGTTGTCAGTCTTCCTGTGGGGCCTGGAGATCTCCCAGAAATTACTGTGTTTCCCAGCCACAGCTAGGGTTCCTAAACGGCG